AGGAATCCCACCGGTGTGCCTTCCTGCTCTAGTACTGCGCCAATAGCGTAGCCTGAGGCATCTGAATAGACGGTGTAGGGCTTGGTCGAATCAGGGGCCTGCAAGGTTGTGAACTCAGCGAGGAGACGTTTCAGTTGGCTCACAGCGGCGGTGTGCTCCTTTCCCCAGACGAAGGGCGAGTTCTTGCGAGTTAACTCCACCAACGGGCGTGCGGTATCGGCATAACTGGGTCCCATAAACATTTTACAGTAATTGACGGTACCCAGAAACTGTCGAACCTGCGTTTCGTTCGTTAGAACATCAGGCCATAAAAGGATCGCTTCCACCTCGTCGGCTGGGGGCTTGATACCATCGGCTCCTACACTATATCCCAACTAAGTAAGCTCCTGTTGCCCGAACTTGCATTTTGACAGCCGAGGGTAGAACTGGTGTTTTACGAAAATGCTGAGGACTTGCTGTAGGAGTAGGACATGGGATTCCAAGGTCGAGCTGTATATAAGTACATCATCTAGATAAGCAATACACCATGACATGGTAATGGTTGAAGGTATGCCTGGAATGTGGCAGGTGCTTCTTTGAGGCCGAAGGGCATTACCTTATATTCGAAGAGGCCTTGTACTGAGCGAAAGGCCGTTTTCCACCTATNGCCGAAGGGCATTACCTTATATTCGAAGAGGCCTTGTACTGAGCGAAAGGCCGTTTTCCACCTATCCTCCAGCGCCATGCGAATTTGATGAAATCCCGCTTCTAGGACCAAAGTCGAGAAATATGCGGCGCCGCCGATCATCTCCAAAACAGTTTGCACACTTGGCATCGGGAACTCGGGAGCTATCGTTAGCGCGTTTAGCACTTGGTAATTGACGACCGTTCGCATCTTCCATCATCTCGTTTGTCGACCATTATCGTAGGAGCGCAAATCGGAGAGTAAGTACGCCCAATCCATCCCTTGGCAGTTAAATGTGCTATCTCCTTGGTGTGATAAGCCAGCTGGTCAGGCGGCATCTTGTATATCGGCGCGCGCGTCGGTAATCTGCCGGGTAAAAGAAGAATTCGATGATCATAAGGTCTCTTGGGTGGCAATCCATCAGGCAGACTATCGGGGAACAGGAGTCGATGTTGTTTCAGAACGGTAAGAATCTGTGTAGGCAAACGAAGGGCCTCCGGAGCATTAGACCATGCATCGAATTCCGTATATTGCAGCTTAGCTGTAGGCCATGGTGAGTCGTCTATATCCTCAGATGTCGGCGGCGCCGTATCTATAGGCTTGGTTGGCGGAGCGCCTGGCTCAAAGTGTGTTACTTTCTGGTGTTCTACAATCGCACACAGAAGAGGACCCTGACGCTCTATGGGTACCTGAACGACACAATCAGGTTTTGCTGCCGGTAAAGCGACTACGCAGTGTAATCCCTCTATAGCCCGCTTTAAAGCTGCTGTGTCTCCCCGCGCCTCCCGTAGGATATCCTTTATTTTCACCCTATCACCAGCACGATGCTTGGATTTATATCGTTTGGTGGGGGGACGAAGAAGAGCTGCCGCCTCCTCCGCTGACATTCTAGCAACTTGCTTAGCCAAATCGTCATGGGCATGGTCCGCCGCGGTCTTGATTGGTTCCGTGTCTGTCTGAGTGCCCACAGTCGGCTCGCCCTCTCTACGCAAGACCGGCAGATCGCACTACCGCCCATTTACAGAAGTCCTGAGCTTGTCCGATTGAAAATACCACGCCACCTTGTGGTTAACTAGCCAATCGATCCCGAGAATGACAGCATACGGTATTGGCCCTACCAGGAAATCCCCTGTGAAGTACTCTCCTCCGCAGAGCATCGACAACCTTGGTACCCCCCAATCGATGAGTATGACTTCACCGTTGGCTGCTGTGAAGGAGTGCGCCTCCTGCAGGATGCGCACCCTCAAGCCCAGCCGTTCCACAATATTCAGGCGGATAAAGCTCCTGGACGCCCCCGTATCCAGTAGTCCTTCACACTTATGGCCCACGATTTCGAGTTGCAATACCGCCGTCTTGCCGACACTACAAAGGGATCCATGGTATTCTGGTGTGCGTTCTGCAGCATCTCCTTCTTGCCACAATAACCAACCTGGTATCATCGTTGTCCCCTCGTCGCCACAGCTCGTTGGGTTCTCCTCCCTCTTGCCCTCTCCGTCGGCCGGTGCACTCCGTTCCTCTCGCCTTTGCTCTCTTGCGTCAATCGACGCACCTCCATGTATCGATCCTCCGTCCATCGTATTTTCATGGCCTCCCGTGCACTCGTTCACGCCATTCCCTGTCCCGCCGAAAGCCGTTCCTCCCCTTTCGTTCACCTCGCCCCCGTTATCCCGTACCACGCTTCCTTCCCTTCCGTTCACCTCGCCCCCGTTATCGCGTACTGCGCCACCACTTAGTAGCAGCACGTGCCTCTGTGAGGGCTCTCATCCGCCCGTCTCACCCCCGTTACCGCGTACCGTGCCACCGCTTAGTAGCCGCACACGCCTCAGTGGGCGGGAATCACCCTTTCCCTGTCCGTTCCCTTTCCGTTCCTCTTCTGTCCTCAACATGACATCGCTCCTTGTCCCATGCAGCCCCCGGTTCGGGGAGACTGTGATGGCAATTTGCCCAGTTGCGGCCTGGCCTCCGTTGCCACCTGTGAGTTGCTCTGGCCTAGCGCGTTCGTCTCCCTTAATGACTAGGCCTGGCTGTTTAACCGGTTTGCTCCCACGTTGACGTCCGTAATAGCTGGCGTCCAGCTCCGTCCTTCCTGCCGGCCAGGCTGCATTCGTTGGGTTGCTGCACATTCCCTAGCGTAATGGTCTTTTCCTCCACACTTAGAGCAGGTTTCACCTCTTCGTCTTGTCACTCCGTTACGCAAAGGGCAGTCCCTTCCCAAATGCCCCTTTCCCGTACATTCATAACAGCGAATCGAAACGTTTTCGTCTGCCGTATTTCCTCTTCCTGTCGGGGTCTGCCTTAAGGCGTTAGTATACCCGGCGGGTCCCACGCTTCGTGTTTGCGAACTCCTGCTCGTAACGCAGCCTCTTCGCGCGCCAGGCCTCGAACGGCGCAGCCCATTCTCTCAGGGCTGCGGAGGCCTCTTGCCAGTCCTGGGAGTTCCTGGTTTCCTCTCGAGTCAGTTTGTCCCATATCTCCACTGGTATGTTCGTAAGGAATCGCAGCACCATGCCCTCAGCCGGTAAAGTTTCTCCTTGTGCAACTATTTCGGCAAATCGCTCGATGTACTNTTTCGCGCGACAAGGTGCAAAGCCTCGCGCATAGTCTCTCTCGTACGTGTTGCCAATCAGAGATTTCCGTCCCCGAGCGTTGCATGAGCTCCCAATGCGCCATGGCCTTGCCCGTCAAGTATTTCCTTAATTCGAGTCCCCACTGTTCATCTAGTATCGTCAGTTCTCGGATTTCCTGTTCTATAATGCAAAGGAAGGCACGCATGTTGGTTCCATCTTCGGTCGCCGCGATTCCCCTTCGATTAGAGCCCTCTTTCTGGGAGTTGGCTCGGCTTTCGTCTGCCATCTGGCGAAGCAACATCAATAACTCAATTTCCCACTTGGAAGGGGTTTTCTCAGGGTCACTGGTCCCTTCAGCATCCAGGTCCTGGTTCCTAGCTGAGGTCGAGCCCTTCCTGCTCACGGTTGGCCCGCTCTCCCGTTGGGATCTTGTCCTCCGCGGTTCGGGGAAATGCCCCGCAATTTCTCTCGGTGGGCTTTCAATGTCCATTTCCTCGGTTGGCGTAAGTGGGAGTCCCGTTGTAATACACTGGCGCGCCTTTGCACCGCGTGAGCAACCTATCTAACAGCCGTTTGCGTCTATTACGAAAGGGATCTACGTAACTAGTAGTAGGAAATAGCAGTGACGGCAATTTTGTGGACAAATATTAGAGGAAAAATGGGAATTCTCGAGTTAAAATCCTCTAACCGAGCCCCCGCCCCTTCACGGGGCAAACGGTCGTTAGATCCCAGAGCCGCAAGGGAATGCCGGCGTAGGGGCCGCGGCACTGTCAGCGGCCGCATACTATAGTGACTCCGACTCTATGGAGGAGTCGACTTACCTCGACTACCATTTTCAGTCTACAGTTTGATTAACTTAATTCTAATTCTTTGTACGAAATTATAAATTCCCTTTCGTTTTTGTCCACTAGTCGTCTTCGGCTGCTCACTGTAGTGCTAGTGCACCCGTCATCCCTCCGCTATGAGGTTGCGTCACAAGCGTCCCCTCGTCCCTTGGGTGCGGAAGTCCCTTTGGGTTCGTGAATTTAGGAACTTTTCCTACTAAAGAAAGGGGGTTTAGTTATATTTATGGAAGAAAGTTCGCCTTTCCTATCCCGGAACAGCCCCCAAATGCAATGCCAGTGTGCATCTAGCCCTCTCAAGCAGAACACACTGGAGTGTAGCAGTTCGTAGCTATACGGGCAGGATCTGCAGAACTAGTCGTTTCTATTAGTAATTCCAACAAATTCGTGGACAAATATTAGAGAAAAGTAGTCCTCTGGCCCGGGTTTCAGTCCGATCCGTTCGCTCCAGCTTGGCGATACGTCAGAGCGGTTCCTAGAACCGTGAGGGTACGTACGGCTGACCCGCGTTACCGCGGTGAATATGCCTCTGCCTCTAGCGAGGCGTCGGCTATCCTCAGCTAACTACCATGACCCTACGATTTAGTTTACCAAACTTAAATTTTATTAATTAAATTAAATTAATTATTACAAATTTTAGTCTCATTTTGCCCACTAGATATCTACNTAATATGAATATATGACGCCTTATAGTATAGATAGGCTGTGTATAGCGCATAGATGTAGAGTCTGAACTCACCAGGACTGTCATTGGGTAGACACACAGTAGCAGCCGAGCCCGCTCTTCCGTAGGTGAGCGGGCTGAAGCACAGGGGAAGCAGAGTTATAAGTTATGAGTACAGTGCTCCACATTCTATGCGAAAAGCAGCAATACATTCATTTAGTCTGTGAAAATGCGCCTTTCCTTGCCACTTTTTGCTGCCTCCGTGGCGCTTATAGTTGAGGCGACGGAGAACACGCAAGCATCGACAGCTCTTGCCGATGCGTCTGCTGTCACCTTCCTGCACAATGAATTTCCCATCGTGGATCAGAATGACTCTGCAAGGAGACGGAGAGGGCAAGCAACAAGCTTGCCGCTGTTGGCGGTTGCCTTCCTGGCTGCCGCACTTGCTACGGTGTTTCTTGTCCTTCGGTGCTCCAAGGCCCTCCAATCCGACAAACCTTCAAGCATCTATGCAATGAATAAGCGGAGGCTGGCACACGGCGACCCCGGCTCATGCACAGTAGGTCGTGACCAGCTGCAGTTGAGAATCTATGTCGTGAAAAGTGACCAACTTTGGAAGTTTGGACCCACTAGAAGTTGGTGTATAAACAGAGGTTGGTGGGTAGCCCCTGAGCATGAAGGAAACACAGGGACTATAACTTGTCGATAGCACGCTGTTTGCCCAGGAGGTAGGCGCACAATATACTGGTGGCGCTGTCAAGGGGAAGCATCCTGCCACTGAAAACAACAGTTTGGTGCACCTTCGGAGCTCCCACGCATCTTGTCAGCGCGCGTATGGGCACTCTTATGCTTCAGCTTGCATGATAGCAGGAATGCAC